AAAATTAGTATTTCTTAAATTTGAAATTCAAAGTGAGTTATGCTTTCTTCAATGTTGTTTCAGTGTAGCCTTTTCATATAAATCTATTTGAAATTTGGGAAAATGGATTTGTGAAAACTTAAATGTTTTTTTTTTTTTTTAGGAGATCTTTATAGGTATAATACTTGTCTATTTTACTGAAGCCAGACCAAAAAAGTGAACTCACATGTTTCCCTCATTAGAAAGAAAAGCAAAAATCTTACTAACCGATTTGGTACACAAAGAACAGAACAAATTGCCTGGGTTTATTTTATGCTCAGTACTCAAGAAATCATGGCATGGAATTAGGTTGGGCACAGGGCACATGCCCAGTGTGTGTCAGGGGTTTATGTAATGCTCTGCGGACTAGCGATGCGTTCACGCTTTCCTACTCCAGAAAGCATGCCAGGGTGACAGATGAGCAGGACTTCCAGAGAGACGGAGGAAGGAGCTCAGTGGAAATTCTCCCCAGCAAAATTTCAATTGAACCAGGGAAAATTATTTAAAAAACAAAATATAAACAATCATTTAAAGTCTCTAGAAACTGTCCTAAGGGCATACAGCAGATGGAAGAGCATCCATTCTAGAAAATGTACTAAGTGTTGGTAAGAACAGCATGGTGTGTGGCATTTGAGCCCACGCCTCCCTTCCCCTCTCCTCTGCAGGTTCCAGATGCTCTATCCTGGCTCTATACTCTAGGCAGATGTGTCCAAGAAGGAGATTCCCTCTCCCCTCAAAGCCCTGTCTGAGGCCATAGTTTGGAAGGGACAAGCTGCTTGCTTTTCTCAACCTCCCCCACTCCTTATTGCAGAATCTCCATCCAGACAAGAGTGGCTAAGAGAAGGACTAGGGCTTCCTTCCACATAAAGAACCAAAGCTCTATAGCAGGCCAAGAAAGCAAGACCTGATTGCCCCTGGCCAGCTGTCTCACACAGCACAGATTTCAGGCCAGGAGAGGCAAGCCAAGATGACCAGGGGCTGCCACCTTGTCCTCCCTCAGTGTCTACTTGTACAGCAGGGATGTCATTCCCAGAAAGAGAGTTCTTGCCCTCCATTCCAATGCAGGGACACAGGGCTTTGTCCAGGGGAAAGGCATGCTATCAGGGTGAAGTGCCCCGCAGCTCTGCCTAAGGGGACTGACTTTATTTGCAACAGAGCCTGAAGAACTGCATGCCTGAGGAGTTGTCGAAAGCCATGGAAATCTCAGTGGAGAGCAAAGGAGGATGTCAGTAGCTCCAAGATATAAGTGAAACAGCAGAGCATCCAGATGTTTAATAGAACCAGGTCAAGGGCCAAGAAACGCTTCTGGGATCCCAGTCCATTCTGGGAGTTGGGAAGGCCACGCACATGTGCTAAGCTGCACCCACTCGAGGCCAGTCAGAGCGTGATGTGGGGCAGGCCCGAAAGCTTTCCCCTAGCCACACGCAAGGCAGAAAGCTCTGTGGCACCAAGGGCTTAAACACAACCTCTGAGCAAACACCGACTGAAAAATAAGCTACTCCAACCCAGGGGAACCTCAGGAAGCCAGGCTTAAAACTAAAACCA